AGTAAAATCAATTGAAAAATAGTTCTCAAACACCTTTGATTTAATTTAACAGAAGCATAACTTGAATTATTTTAGAAGTATTAAACTTGAAGTAAAAGTTTAAACCCATAGACAGATTTAATTTTAAACAACAGGATTCAATACTTCTTCCAAAAATTCTGGTTTCATATGTTATTTTTTTGACAAAATTAGATCCTAAATAAGACAACAAAAATTACTTTGAAAGTTTGCTTCATTTAACTTACAACCAGCTTGTTTCTTTACTGCAACCTACTCTCAAACCAAGAAGAATTACTGTTAAAATTTGTCTCAAAAGTGCACAGCATTCCTTTAAAAATCCTAGCTTTAACCTTGAGGTTATCTCAAAATGAAGAAAAAACCTTACTGGGTGAATTCACCCAAATGGAAATCATGTTCCCAAGTAGTGAATAACCAACCGCAGCAAACTTTAAAATGAAACTCAGTAGCCTAAACTTGTAAATCAACATGGACTAAAGAAATGTCCAGGTGGTTCGAAGCTAGTTCTGCAAGGCTGGACTTAATCTTAAATAAAACTTTATCATAACCAGAAGCAAACCTTCAACAATAATCTTGACAATTCAAAAGGAACACTTTCAATTTGGGGACTAAAAACAGAAATCAAAAAAAGGAAAAAACTAATTGCACCAAAGTTCAACAAAAAAACTATAAAAATGAACACAAGAAAAGAATAGCGGGGGTTTCGGATGCAAGATCCGAACCCCCTAGGGTTATTACCCTTTGGTTTTAGCTCTGATTTTCTTCTTGATTGGTGGTGGTGATGATCTTCGCAGCCCTCCCTCAATTTATAGGTGCTCTTCGTCTCTTCCGTCTTCGATTAGGACTTCCTTGTGCGCTGCAATTCTTGCTGCGGTTTCTCCGGCTCTAGCTGTGCTTGAAGAAGCCGTCCCAACATAGGAGAGGGAGTCTTCGGCTCTTCTATCTCACACGTATCTCTCTTTTTTTTCTCCTTTTTTACGCAGCTTTTCTCAACTTATGAGGTGGACCTCTGGGCTTTGTCATCTTGGGCCTGGATTTCCTTTGAGACCATAAGTCGGGGTAGAGCCCAACTGGATTGCTTTCACATTTTCAGCCCACACTTCATGCTCCAAAGATATATCTAATTACCTTTGTCAAGGAGAATTTGGGTCCACAACAATAATATTCAAAAATAAACTGAAAAGTGTACATTATGAACATATTTTATAAAAGATACCTAGAATGCAAATATAATCATTTATGTGTAAAAATGCACTTTTTAATGCCCAAAAATACTGATTTGGTAGAGAATAATTGGTGAATATTTTGGACTCAACATCCACCCAGGCTTCCCTCCGGGGAGATAGACTGGGACTCCATGACCCTCCAGGACTTCGCCTTGTACCAGAGGATGTGCAGGACTAAGCTTGGACGTTCTTTGCTAACTGTTGAAGCGGAACCTTCATGTGAAAGCCGGACTGCTTCTCCAAACCTGCTGAAGCCTCCCAACAATGGTTCTTCATTGAAGGGAGCAGCCCCTCGTCGCCTGGGACATGGGAAGATTATGACATATGGGAAACCGCTGATTCATCAACGTGTCCCTCGTCAAAGAGAATGAGCCCATGGAAGGGTCCCCACCTCCTTCTTGTTGACTGCATGGATGCAATAGGCCCTCCTTCGGTTCCTAGCCTCCTGCAAATCAAATTTATTTTCCTTGTTTTGTATCAAGGGGCATTCACTTGCTTGGTCCAGAGGTTTTCCTCTCATCCCAAACTAAGGAATGTTCCTTAATTTTGAAGTAGGAATCATCATTGTAATTCAAAGATATACCCTCCGAATTAGCAATCGATAACTCCCTTAATTTCTTTTCTTGTTTATTTCACTAAGAACCTTTATTGTGAACCAAAAACTGTAAACTTTGGCCCATCAATATGGTCCTTAATGATCATTTCTTTGCACCTCTTCAAATGCAAGTACATAATTCATTCTCTATATTAAATCTCATCTTCCCGGGGTTTGGGCATGCCTGGGGCACTTATCGCATCTTCCCCTGACCTCCCCTTCCTCCGGGTTAAGGCATTATCTTATCTACCTTGGATCAGTTGAGCTCCAACCCTCGAAGTTTGTTTGCTCGGTTGATCTATGCTAGTGGAATACTAAGCTTCAGCCCTCGAAGTCTGCTTGCTATTCTTCCTGAATTCCAGGTTGTAGTGGCCCTCGAAGTCCAATCCCAACCCTTCCTTCATTTTCGACGGAGGCATAACCTTCTCTACCTCCGGGGGGCATAAACTTATCTACCTCCCATATTTTTAGCAGGTGGCATAAACTTTTCTACCTCCCTGTAACGCGGGTCTATATCGCCCGGGGGTGCCTCCCCCCTCTTTTTTTTTTTTTAAGAAATCTATAGAACAATGAAATTGCAAAGGCACTTGGCATTAAAAGAAAAGTTTTATTGAAACAAGCATCTCAGATTAAAAAATAGGACGTTTTTACAAAACGATTCACTGATAAAATTTGACCAAGTGCTCTACATTCCATGTCCTATCAATTTCTTTCCCCTTCGGAGTCACCAACTTGTAGGTACCTGGGCGAACAACGGCCTTGATGATATAAGGTCCTTCATACTTCTTAACCAGCTTCCCACCCTTAGTTGGTTGACTTTTCTCTCGTTTCCTCAGAACATAATCCCCCACCTGGAATGCCCTTGGTTTCACCTTGCTATCAAAGTAAGATTTCACCTGGCGACAATAATTCTCTGCCCGGATACGTGCTTCATCCCTTCATTCTTCTACGAAATTCAGCTCTACGGCCTGATTCTGTTCGTTCACTTCCGGGTCATATTCCATTTCTCTCCTGGTGGGGATTACTACTTCAGCGGGAGCCCGGGCTTCAAAACCATAAGCCAAGCCAAAAGGAGTGTCACCCGTGGCTCTCCTTGGAGTCGTCCTGTATTCTGGGTAGTTCATCTACCCATTTGGTTCCTTCGGAAAGTAGCTTCTTCTTTATTCCGTCTATGATTGTTCTGTTGACATTCTCCACTTGTCCATTAGCTTGAGGATACGCAACAGACGTGTGCTGAATTCCCCAAGTTTTGAGAAAGTCTTGAAACTCGGCTTCCTCAAACTGGGTTCCATTGTCTGATATGATCTGCTTCGGGACCCCGAACCTGCAGAGTATATTGGTTCCGACGAAGTCAATCCTCTGCCTTCCGGTGATCCCTGCAAGTGGCTCAGCTTCCACCCACTTTGTGAAATAGTCTATCGCAACCACAATCCACCTTGCTTGCCCTGCCCCTTTTGGCAGGGCTCCCACAAGATCGATTCCCCATCTTGAAAAGGGAATCACGGAGCTGATGGGAGTGTAATTTGTGGCTGGCCTCCCGGGTATATTCTGGAAATGTTGGCAGGTCGGGCACTTGCGTACATACTCTTCGCAATCCTTCCTCATTGTTGGCCAAAAGTATCCCTGGATGATAGCCCTTCTAGAAATGGAATAAGGACCCTGATGTGCTCCACATACTCCTTCGTGTATTTCTTCCATCAGCGCCTTCGTCTCTGCTGCCCTGAGGCAACGGAGTAAGACCCCGTTGTAGGATCGCTTATAGAGGACTCCATCCTGTACCTTGTAGGTAGGTGCCCTCATTCGCAATAGACGTGCTTTTTGGGGATCCTCTGGGGCCTCACCGTCCTCAATGTATTTGGCCAACCGGTCCAGCCATTCCGGGGGATCAGCTGATACCTAGATCACTTCACTGTTGCTAAGACTCGGGGTCACCAGCTCTTCGACGGTTGCCAATTTGCTTATGTATTCCGGCGATTCCGCACTGAGCTTGGATAGAACATCGGCTTCTGCGTTCTGGGCCCAGGGTATATGTTCAAGCTTAAACTCAAACCTCCCCAACATCTCTAAAGATAAGTCCCGATACCTCTTCATCCTTTCTTCCTTTGCTTCAAATTCCCCTGTGATTTGTCCCACCACAAGTTGGGAGTCGCTGTAGACCTGAACCCTGGATACTCCCATCTTACTAAGAATCTTCAATCCATTGATCAGGGCCTCATATTCGGCTTCATTATTGGACACGCGGAACTGAAATCTGATAGCGTAATAAATCCGGAATTTTTCTGGGGTGATCAAGACGATACCTGCTCTGCAAGATCGAGACCCAGAAGATCCATCGATGCTCATTATCCACCAGTCCTTCTCCACCCGGGTTTTAACTTGGGCTCTTGTCATTTCTCTAGCGGTGCACTCGACTTGAAAGTCGACGAGTGCTTGCCCCTTGATGGATGGGCGCGGCCTGAATTCCACGTTGTACTGACTGATAAAGACCGCCCACTTGGTCATCCGGGCAGATGCCGCCGGGCTTCGGGTAAGTGACGCCAAAGGCTCATTGGTGAGCACAATAATCCGGTGAGCCTGAAAGTACAGGGTTAATCTCTTTGCTGTCCAGAAGACTGCCAACATGGCTTTCTCCGGTCGAGAATACCTTAACTCCGCATCTCTCAGGGTCTTGCTGACGTAGTAGACCGGATGTTGGGCCCCACGCTCTTCTCTCACGATCACAGTACTTATGGCACAGTCCGCAATCGCCAAATATAGAGTCAGAATATCCCCAGGTTCCGGCTTGGATAAAACCGGCGGACTTTTGAGATATCTCTTCAATTCTTCAAATGCTTCGTGACATTCCTGTGTCCATTCGAAGGTCGCCTTCTTCTTGATCACCGCGAAAAATGGGTGCGCTTTCTCCGCCAGCTTTGAAAGGAAACGATTCAAGGCCGCCAATCTTCCTGTTAGCCGCTGAACTTCCTTTGCTGTTTTCGGGGGTTCCATCTCCATGATGGCTCTTACTTTCTCTGGGTTTGCCTCAATTCCTTTCCGGCTTACCATGTGCCCAAGGAATTTCCCACCTTGAACAGCAAAAGTGCATTTCTTCGGGTTCAATCTTAGATTTACCTTCATCATGATTTCAAAGACTTCCTCAAGGTCCCGGACATGGTCTCGGGCCTCTTTGGACTTGATAATCATATCATCGACATATGCCTCCATGGTCCGCCCCAAAACAGTCTTGAACACCTGAGAAACCATCCGGGTATATGTTGTCCCGGAATTTCTCAGTCCAAAAGCCATCACTAGGTAACAGTACAGCCCTTTCGGGGTCATAAAACTTGTCTTTTCAGAATTGGCCGGATGCATCCGAATCTGATGATAGCCACTGAAAGCGTCCATGAAGCTCATTAGTTCTGACCCAGCAGTCTCATCCACCATCTGATCGATGTTGGGAAGAGGAAACGGATCCATGGGACATGCCTTGTTCAAATCTGTGTAATCGACGCACATCCTCCATGAAGGGGGCTTAGGCGCCAGTACTACGTTTGCCAACCAATCCGGGTAGTGCACCTCCCGGATGTGCCCAATGCTCTGCAAGGTTGCTACTTCCTTCTTTACAAAATCTCTTCTTTCCTGTGATAAATGCCTTCGTTTCTGTTTCACTGGTTTAGCATCCGGCAGCACATTCAGGCGATGAACTGCTATCTTGTGATCCAGCCCTGGCATATCAGCTGGACTCCACGCAAAGACCCTTCTGAACCTTCTAAGGACTGAAATCACTCGTGATCTGAGTTCAGCCCCCAGGTCCTTGCCGATCCTGACCAACCTTCCCGGCGTGCCTGGCTCCAATTCCACTTCTTCAATGTCGCCAGCCACTTCTACTCTGGGACATTTTTCCTCAGCCCTCAGGAGTTGCGCAGTCACTTCTCCTACTTGGGTATCGTACTTGACCGGCTGTTTGGTTGCCTTCAAGTACCATGCCCGGGATACTCTCTGAGATCCCCTGGCAATTCCAACTCCATGGGGGGTTGGGAATTTTATGCACAGGTGACGAGGTGAGATAACACACTCCAAATCTTCCAATCCGGGTCTGTCCAAGATAATGTTCGTGCTGGAGATTATCCCCACCACGACAAACTCCATATCCAGCTTCCGGGTTGCCTTAGTATCCCCTATCTCAACCGGGAGGGTTATTACCCCCTCCGGTTCAATAGAGTCACCAGTGAACCCGGTTAGTGGAGTCTTGATGGGTGATAATTCATCTCTTGTCAAACCGAGAGCCTTGTACGTATCCATATACATGATATTAACGGAGCTTCCCGTATCCACAAGGGTTTTGTGGATCAGTAAGTCCATTATATCAATAGTAATTACTAGGGCGTCCCTATGAGGGACCCCTGTCTCTGGAAGATCAGCATTAGAAAATACAATTGGCTCGGTTTTCAGCTTCTTACCTTCCGGGACCAGCACCTTGTTGACCATCGCCACGTTAGCCCATTTCTTCCGGCTCGTGGCTGAATCCCCGCCAGTATTTCCTCCAATGATGAAGTTACACCCGTGGTGTCTCTTCTGGCGATGCAGTGCGGGTTCCGAATCCTCCTCTTCCTCTTCAAGCCCGACATGGCGTTTCTCCCGGGCCTCAGCTTGGGCCACTTCTTTATCTTTGCGCTTTCCATTCTGAGCATTCCCGGGATTTCCTGCATCGCCATCTTGTACGAATTTCTTTAGATGACCCCGGCGGATTAGCCTTGCCATCTCATTCTTCAAAGTATAGCAATCTTCCGTGTTGTGGTCATTCTTGCGATGGTAGGCACACCATTTTCCAGTGTCTTCCACATTGCAGACCTTCTGGGAATAGGTTGGGTAAGTCATGAGTCCCTGCTGTGCAGCATGGGCCATGACCTCAGCCACTGGCAGTGTGAAGACCGGGTTGGCAGATTTATGCTTCTCCGAAGTCCCAGGATTTGCGCCCTTTGGGCCGTCCGGGAAGCCTTGCTTCTTGTTCTTGAACGGCTTCTTACTCCCCAACTTCTCTTCTTCCTTAGGAGTTTTCTCTTTCTTCTCCTCCTTTCTTTCTTTCAGGGTCACATACCTTCCCGCCCGGACCATTGCTTCTTCGAAGGTATCCGGGGGATGAGTAGTGAGATCGGTGTGAAAGAGTCCATCCTGCAATGCCGTCGTGAACATAGCCAACCTGGACTTATCATCGGTTCCTTCAACCTCCCTGGACTCTTTCCTCCATCGGATAAGGAAATTCTTCAAGGATTCTCCATGCTTCTGTCGTACTGACGCCAAGTGAGTGAAATGCTTTTTGGGACGACAGTTCCCAGCAAAATGCTCTAGGAACCGCAGTCCCAATTCATCCCATGTCCGGATCGATCCGGCAGGGATATGGTTGACCCAATCCGCGACCTTGCTATCAACGGTCTGCAAGAAGCACCGGCACATGAGTGCGTCACTGGCATCTACAGTGATCATCACTTGGACATAACTGTTTATGTGTTCCTAGGGGTCTGACTCCCCATCATAACACTTAACAAATGGCATCTTGAACCCCTACGGGTATGGTTCCGCAAAGATCTCCGGGGCTAAGGGAGTATTCGTACGGGTGGTGAATACTCGACCCTTGTTTATCTTCCTCTGCATCTCCTGGATCTGCTGCCTCAGATCCTGGAATTCACCAGCTTCCGGCAACGCCGGTCCCAGACGCCGTGGTGCTGGGATCCTGGCTTGGCTCTGGACCTCGTCCTCCTCCAGATTCCTTAATGACCGGACAAGCACTTGGCTCGCGCCTCGGCCGTCTCGCTGCCGGGGTTCGCGATTGGAAGATGCCACCTGGCTGGCTTGGGGTCGTATCCAACCCTGGGGTGCCTTTTCCGGATTCTTCCCCAGTCTCTCACTAACGTGAGCTTTCTGGCGAGATATCCTTTCAAAGACAGATGCTCGCGGGTTCTCATTTCCATCGCCGAAAATCCGGCTTGGATCCTTAGCCTGGCCTTCGTTCACCTTGCTATTCCGGGCCAATTCCTCCGCCCGGCGTCTGTCAATGGCTCGCCTTTCCCTTTCAACCTCCTCTGAATCATGGAGCTCCTGGAGGATAGGAGAACTCGCAGTACGCAGGACCTGGCGAGGTTGCCTGGTAGGGATGTCCCGGGTACCGGATGGACCTGGAAGAGCCTTATCCAATCGTTCCATAATGTTGGCCATCATGTTAGCCACATTATTTAGTGCCGTTTCCAACCCATTGACTGGAACTATCACACCCTGTTCTGGGTTGTCACTTCTCACCGTCGACTGGGCAGAAGTTGCAGGGTTACGTCTCGTCCTTCGTCCGGCCATAATCTCACAGCCTTATCTCACAATATATCTCTCAATGAAAGCACCAATGATGGGATTAACCCGATCAGATGGCGGACCAAGAACGGAATATGAATTAGGAAGATATAATCACTCGATAATATTCTTTGATTATGTATTGAACTGTCTTGTTGTGACCTGCCTTACAATGGCGGGGTCTTCCCCTTTTTATAGTACTTCTAATAATATAATTAAAATTATACAAAATGGAAAGGATTATAGAGATCGTGGGGTTGTGATTCCCTCTTTTCCGGTCTCGTTCTCTTCCCACTCTGTCTATGACCCAATGACGTGGGCCACGTGTCCCACTCCTTTCTTGGACTGGGTCACCTTAATTTATTCCCTAACTGGGCCGTCTTTCTCTATCCGCTGTATGCGTAATTTCGGGCTCAGCCCGTTATCTCCATCTGACTCTATACCTCTTGGGTTATTATGGGCCTTCGCTTGGGCCTGGAGTCGAGTCTACCAGACCCGATATCCATCACACTTCCGCAATTGTGAGAATCATATTGGAATGAGACTCTGTCCAAACTTAATCCCACTCATCACACACACACACATATAACAATATTATAAATAATATGAAAATATAATTGTATACTATATTCGTCTCAAATTAAGTTGTTTGTTTGTTTTCACATGGTCGAACTTCATTCACTTCTTTTCATTCCCTATTTTCAGTACTCATTTAGTAAAATAATAAAATCATGTCACCTCTCGTTTCATAGAGTTTTTTATGTAATTTTTTAGTATGTACTCCGTAATTTTTATTATGCTCCAATTTACAAATTAATTACATTAAGTCAAACATCGTAAAGCGAAACAGAACATTTAAATTGGGACAGGTAGTAAGTAAGGAGTACAACTTTTTTAAAACAAATAAGATAACAATAGAATAGTACTCCCTATTCCGTAATAATGTACCACAATGCCTTTTTAATCGCAAAATAAGGTTCCACTTTTCATATTAAGCAAATTTTTGTGGCTTATACTATTTTTCTCTTTTCTGCGTCACTTTCAATCAAACAATTTTATTTTTACCAATCTTATTAAAAATGCATTTCAAAAGTTAAATGGAGTAATAAGAAAAAAGCATAAAAATATTTTTATCATATTATATTTCAAATTTAAAGTACATGAGTATTCTATTTATAAAATAGGTATACAAATAAAAATATAAGTTGCATATTAAAAAACTACGCCAAAAATTTTACATAACAAGATGTGACAAGAATATTCAATGTTATTAAGTAATCAATGAAAATATGAAGATAAATACAAATTATCGAGTGATCGTAATAGTAACAGTGTAATTTATTGTGGGACAGAGGGAATAATTTGCCATGGAATTGTGCTATATTGCTACTCAAATTAGCTACACATTTTTAATATTATTAATAATTATGTGCTTGGCGGAGTTTCTTAGTTGGTCAATAGAGAGTGTAAAAAAAGCAAAAAATTGTCACCGAATACCCTCGATTTTGTTATAAGAATTGTCAGGTCCCATTATTTTTCTAAATATACTCCGGGGTACCTTAATTATCCAAAAAATTAGTACAGGGTGACAATCCGTTCATGCCTCCGTTACTTTCAATCTCCGTTATCTTTTTCATCTTCTTTCCTGTTTCTTTCTTTCTTTCTCGCTTTTTTCTTTCTTTTTTTCTCTTCACAATTCCCATTAGAGACCACCCCCCCTCCCCCCCTTTTTTCTTCCTCTATTTTTCTTTTCTTCTTCTTCTTCTTTTTATTATTATTATTATTATTATTATTATTATTATTATTATTATTATTATTATTATTATTAGTATTAGTATTAGTTATTATTATTTTATTATTAGTTATTGTATTAGAGTAGTAAAAGTACTAGTAATTGTTTTTAATTATAATAGTAATAAGTTTTAATTTAAATAATAATTGGTGTTATTTTACTTAAAAAATAGTGTAACAAAACTACTAATTAACTTTTAATAATAATGATAATAAATTAAAAAAATAGAAGAAAAATAAAAAATAAGAAATATATAATAACTAATACAAAGTAATACTAATAAGTATTGTTATTTTTATAAAAGAGTAAAGTAGTAAAATTACTAATTATTTTCTTTTAATAAATAATAGTATTAATAATAAGTGTTTTTTTTATAATAAGTTCTATTTTCCTAAATAAAAATCAATGCTATTTTTATAATAACTAATTTTAATAATAATAGTAATAATAATAAATAAAAATAATATGGAGCAATTAATAATAATAATAATAATAATAATAATAATAATAGAATACGATGAAAATAATAATAAATACTCCTTATGAAATAATAATAATAATAATAATAATAATAAGTATTGCTATTTTTCTAAAAAATATAGTACTAGTCTCTTTCTAAAAAATAAGTATCTCTCTAAAAATAGGGAGGGGGCCTGGTCTCTAATGGGGATTGGGAAGGTGGGAGGGGGGGCTGGTACAGGAAAGAGAAAAAAAGAAAGAGAGAAAGAAGCAAGAAAGAAGAAGAAAAAGATAATGGATAGAGAAACTAACGGAGGCATGGACGGAATGTCACCCCCTAATAATTTTTCAGATAATTTAAGGTATCCCGAAGTATATTTAGAAAAATAATGAGACCTGGCAGTTCTTATCACAAAATTGAGGATACCCGACAGTAATTTTTTTGATAAAAAAATGGTAGTGCTCGGGTTTGACTATTGACAACAACAATGAAAGAAAATCATGCATAGTCTTTGGCTCTTTGCATGTAACGTTGACATATCTGACTCTTTATTGATCAAGCTAAGGTTAAAACTCCTCCATCCCAACTACTATCCAGGCTTGTCTTGAAGGGCCCAACTAAGTTCAAACTAGCGAAAGTATGATTTACGTAGTATATTTCTTCCTAACTTAAAAATTATATTTCTTCCTAACTTGAAAATATTTTACAAAACAAATCTAAATCAGCCTGGGTATACTGGGCATACCTCATCTTGTTTATATTCTATCTGTCCTAATTTAAATTGATTGTTATTTATGAGATTTAACTCAAATAATTTTTAATTCATTTTATTTGAATATTGGTAAGAAATTATAAATATAAAAACTACATCAAAAGTTCTATTAAAAAGAGTTGATAAGAATATATTATTTTTTTAAATAGATAGTGAAAGTGTGAAACTATGTATCTTTGTTTTATGATGAGAGCTTTGTTCAAAAAAAATATATCATAAACCAGTTTGTGTTACGAGTTGCAAAGTTAATACTCCGTAATTTTTATTTTAAAGTATAATTTCAAGTCAATGCTGGCCTGAATATGCATGCTAAAATATGGTCATGTTACAATGCTTGACCAAAGCTATTTTATACTCAGTTTGCCTTCAAAAAAAATACTCAGTTTATATAAAAATTGATGTGAAAATAAAAAAATACAGAGTAATATTCATATATTTTAAACCAAACAGTATATCAAAAGTTTTACAGAATAAAAGGCGACAGTAATACGGAGTATTATTTTATTAAATGGGTAAAGAAAATAGACAAAGAAAATTATCAAAGTTTGATCATTCGAATAGTCCACGGGAAATTTGCTCTTTGACGCACACATAATTGACTTTAATCCACCAAGAAATATGAGAATTAAAACCTAGATAAATTATAAATATGAAACTCTTTGTATATCCAGTCCTTTCTCCAAGATAGAGGGAGTATTTACATGGTGATAAAGCTAATTAAGAGGAAATTATGATCCACTTTCTTTAAAAAGGTGGAACACCCACCCCGGGAGCCCCCACACCCCGGCCCAACAGGCAAGTGAATGGGATAGGAAATAACAAACACCGAGACAACCCGTGTATATTGGGCAAACCTTAGCTTGTTTTGATTCATCTTCAACTGCTCACCAAGACACAATATGATCCTATTCCCAATTCATGATAAGCTTGTTTTGATATTGTTTAGCTTTTCTTTGATTTTCCTGCAAGTCAAGAAAATAAATTGTGAGATCAGATCTCATGAACAACAAGTCTGCATTACAGTATTGACCAAATGACTTTAACAGTCATGCACAAAATATAAGACAACCCGCTCGCCGGGAGACAGAAAGACAAGGTTACGATCAAGTGCTTTGATGAGGGCGTCAATTTTCTCCGGGACGACTAACGTTACAAATTGCAATTTGGATGATTTTCTCAAGTGCCCGAAGCTTGACCTTATCCGAAAGCTAATCCCTTGGGACCCGTACCCGGCGGCAGTGGCGGACCCAAGAATTTTGGGGAATGGGTTCACATTTTGTGCACAAAAAAAATGTTGATATTTGTATAACAATAAATTTAAAACCTTAATGGTAAAAAAAGTATCAATAAATAGCATTCTGGGATTAATATTGTGAATTATATGCAATATTTTTGAAATACGGTATAAAAATATAATACGCTCATTGTTTTAACCAAAAAAATTAAAGAACTAAAGTAGTAATTCTAGACATTTCTTCAAATACTAAGCATATCTTAGGAATCTTTTTAAAACAATTAAACTTGTTCATACATTTCAAAAAAAATTTGAACATTTTATAATTAAGTTTCATAATGAAAGGTAAATCAGTTTTCCAAATCTAAAAGAATTAAAACATAAAATTCTACACGACTATAGAATGTGTCATCTTTTCCATTTTCAAAAAATAGCATCTAATCACATATAAATATACTCTCATTGGATGCCCTTAGTCTACATATAATATCTAATTATATACTACTACTAATAAATAATTTTTTTTGGAGTGGGTGCAAGTGACCCCACTGCAACCACCCTAGGTCTGCCCCTGCCCGGCGTTGTATAATCCTACGGGTTTTGTCCTTTCAGGTGTATCAACCAAGGTCTAGACTAGGTTTGTATACAAAGACTCTATTTCAGATTTCACGACTTTAAGTCATTCTTCAGATTCAGGTCATGAAATTATCTCGAGGTAGGTCTCGACTTCATCTTGATATACGAGTAAGCCATCACCTTCATCACATACGTGGGAACCGTATCTAACCAGAGGATTACCTTGTGCTTCTCTAGTCTTTTAATGAGAATAATTACTCGAGAGTATAAAGTATTTGTGGAATTATTATCTCTTATATTGTGTTTCTCTATTCTTCATGATATGGGGTCTTCCAAAATCTAATGGAATTGTTGTATTATTAGTCTCTTTGTCATACTCTTTTGGTGGTGATGAAATAAACATTGGGTTTCTCTAGTGCCTTTGTAGTTGAGAGGACATCCACACCCCTCCATTACTTGAATGAGACTTGTATTTCTAATGTATGTCATCTAATATACTCCCTCCGTCCCGTGAAACATGGGACATTTGTTTTTTAGGAGGGATTTAAGGGAGTGTATTTTGGTATTGAATTTCCAAAAATGTCCTTTGATGTGATGGGTAAAAGTATGATTTGATGGATAGATTATTAGTAAAAAGGTATGATGTGATAGTTAGGGTATAAAAAAGTAAGGGGTAAATGTGACTTTTTTAATAGAAATAAGAAGTGTTTTATGGGACGAATAAAAAAAGAAAGGAGAAATGTTTCACGGGACGGAGGTAGTAGTACATAAGCTTAACCAGTAAGTTACCTTTTTTAAAAAAAATAGCATGCAAAACTTCCCCAATCAAGTTAAACTTTTGTTAACCTACTTTAATAAATTGATAAAATAAAAAAAAAGTTGTCACCATTGTTTTGTGGAATTATTGAAGTAATTTTTGAATACACAATCCTTTTCCCATTTAATACTAGTAGTTTTATAAATATTGAATTAAAAATATTTTTGATCAAACATCATAATTTAAAACTGAAAGATTATTTAATTTGAGGATAAATGGAGTATAAGAAAGTAACTTATTTATCATATTTGCCCCTAATAGTGTAATTACTCCGTACTATAGTAGAATATTTGGAAGTGAAATTTGCACTGAATAGGATTAAAACATAACTCATTTCCCAACGTAGGACTTTAACTTTTTTATTTCCTAAATAGGACTTAATAATGACTAAAGAGAAGAATATTGTCTAAGTGATGCTGGACATTTAGTTGAATAATGACTAATAGATAATGACCAATGGTCCTACATTGGGAAATAAAAATATATGGTCCTATATTGAGAAAGTCATTATCTTTTAGTCCTATTTAGATAAATTACCCTATTTGGAAATGTTAAAAACAAATGGGACTATCAAAATTGGCAAGGGTGCAAAATCAAATGAGACGGAAAGAAATAAGAAATATATATTCGTCTGTGTAATTTCACAATATTTTGAAATTATGTTTCTTTGAAATGATATTAAACTTTGAAATGATATTAACTTATATTTGATTAAATTTTTTAAGTTAATTTACACAATTTTACATTATAAGATCTTTATTTTTCATAAAATAATCTATTTACAATTATATATTATGAATGTCGTGGGCACTTGTGTACTGAATGCACTATAAGACTAAGGTACGTATGCGCCTTTTCTAACACTAATTGGTTTTAGAAGAGTTGATTGGTAGCGGCTGAGATCCTATAACTGATCACAAGTTCTATTCCAAGTGAGAGCATTTGCAGAGGGGGAGGTTGTTGACCATGTGTGCATCATTGTCCCGTGGTGGAGGCTATATATGTGGGTCAAGTCACAATTGAATGTCGTGGGCGCTTGTATGCTGAATGTACTATGAAACAAGGGTATGCGCCTCTTCTAACACCAATTGGTTTTAGAAGAGTTGGTAGCGCCCGAGGTCCTACAACTGTTAGAGTATATAAAAATTATTTCTAGGTCACAAGCTTGAGCTTTTGATAGAGTTGGTTTTTTGACATGGTATATATCAGAGCATTGATGACCAAGTGGTCACGAGTTCGAAACTCAACGCACCCAGTTTAAAAACAATTTAAGGTTTCACGTGCAAGGCTCAAAGATGTCATGCCTGCACATGAAAGGGCGTGTTAGAATATATAAAAATTATTCCAAGGCGACAAACACAAACTTGAGCTTTTGATTGAGTTGGTTTCTTGACAAAAGAATATTGTTTTACTTTTTGGTCAAACTGTGCAATATTTTGATCATAAATTATGAAAAAAGTACATTGAGCAGTAGTGTTATAAGTTTAGCAAACTTAGGTTTATTTTAAAATATAGTTTTAAAATATCAGATTTTCATAATATTAATTACTTGAAACTATATTTAATCCGTGGGCAAAAGAGGTTACAATTTAACTAAAAAATCAAAATGTAGTAATATTTGGTGTCAAAATGTTTGGGGTCCAAGTAACCAACCAACTCTACCACCAAATAGAGAGTAAGTTTACTTTGTCTCATGCATTTTATTTGTATATAAACCCCCGTACGAAAACCCTAATGTGCAATCGTTGGTTTATATTGATATATACGTGGTACGTGGTGTGGCGAGCAGATCGGTCGGAAGAAGTTCGAAGCCTATCATTACCGCAATAACTTCGAGCTTTAGATAGTCTCTCTTTTGCACTTCGGTAAGAGGGGGTGCGGCCTTTGGAGCTCCTGGATATTCGAGAGAGAAGAGCTGGTTTAGCGGCCGTCGTTCTACATACCCCTCGTCTTCTTCTACGGCTCCGGCGACTCAGCTCCTTCCCATGATTACGACGCTCTCCGGGAGTCGCTCTCCAGGACGTTGTCGGTCCTGTACCCGGTCGCCGGGAGGCAGAAGGACGAGGTTACGATCGAGTGCGGTGACGAGGGCGCCGATTTTCTCCGGGCTAACGTCACGAATTGCGATTTGGACGGTTTCCTCAGGTGGCCGAAGCTCGACCTGATCCGACAGCTATTCCCTCGGGACCCGTACCCGGCGGCGTACGATCCTGCTCAACCGTTGCTAGCCGTTCAGGTGAACCGGTTCCTGTGTGGCGGAACGGCGGTGGCGATATGCCTTTGGCACGCCATCGCCGACGGGTCGGGGCTAGTCGGGTTCCTAGAAACGTGGTCCGGATTCAATCGGGGAGCAGGGCCCGCCGTCGGTGATGGGGCCCGTTTCGTCGTAGACGCCTCCACGGTTTTCTCGCCTATGAAATTCGACTTCTCTGTGGCAATATCTTCCTTCGCAGAGCGAAGGGCGCAGAAGCGGGAAAAATACATCGCGAAACGATTCGTTTTCTCGAAGAAGGATATCGAGAGGCTGAAGGACGAGTACGCTACACAATCGGAGCATCAGCGCCGCCCGACTCGGGTGGAGGCGTTGTCGGCATTCATGTGGGCCGCAGTGATAAGGGCGGCCCTACACGCCAACCCCAACCTCAAGGGCCACATGCTGACAAACACGGTGGACTTGAGGAGGAGGTTGGACCCGCCCTTCCCCACCACGTGCCT